GGGTTAGTCAGCAGGTGGATCTGGGTTAGCCAGCAGGTGGGTCAGGGTTAGCCAGCAGGTGGGTCAGGGTTAGTCAGCAGGTGGATCTGGATTAGCCAGCAGGTGGGTCAGGGTTAGCCAGCAGGTGGGTCAGGGTTAGCCAGCAGGTGGGTCAGGGTTAGTCAGCAGGTGGATCTGGATTAGTCACCAGGTGAGTTTGGATTAGCCAGCAGGTGGGTCCGGGTTAGCCAGCAGGTGGGTCAGGGTTAGCCAACAGGTGAGTCCGGGTAAGCCTGCAGGTGAGTACGGATTAGCTAGCAGGTAGGTGCGGATTAGCCAGCAGGTGGGTCTGGATTAGCCAGCAGGTGGGTCCGGGTTAGCCAGCAGGTGGGTCTGGATTAGCCAGCAGGAGGGTCTGGATTAGCCAGCAGGTGGATCCCGGTTAGCCAGCAGGTGAGTACGGATTAGCCAGCAGGTGGATCCCGGTTAGCCAGCAGGTAGGTCCGGATTAGCCAGCAGATGGATCCCGGTTAGCCAGCAGGTAGGTCCGGATTAGCCAGCAGGTGGGTCCGGATTAGCCAGCAGGTGGGTCCGGATTAGCCAGCAGATGGATCCCGGTTAGCCAGCAGGTGAGTACGGATTAGCCAGCAGGTGGGTCCGGATCTGGACTCTGGTCCGCTAATCCGTGACGTCTGGAAAATACAAATTGTCTTTAACTTTCAGCACTTTGTCACACTTTCAACAGTGGAGTGTTGTGTGAGTGTTTACCTTGAGGCTTTTGCAGTTAGGTACACTTCATATTGTTTTCATGGGAAAACACATACCTGCTGTTTCCAGATCTTTCTGAAGCTCTCTGTCAGCGTTTGGATGCCTTTTTTTTTTTTTTTTTTACTCCTCTGACAGGAAACTTACCTGGAACACCTGGGAGTGGAAGGTTTATGATAAAACACTTAACTTCTAGATTCTGGGATGAAAGGCCAACCATGGGTAAATTAGAAAGTCTTAAATAAAGATTTAAGAGTTGATTGTTCAGGAAGTTATCTTTGCTTTACCATTTGTACCACTTTTTGCAACACTTTGGTACTCAGAGTTTTTTCATTACTCATCAGTTATCATTATCTGCCTGGGTGTGT